GTTTTGCATAATCTTTCTCACACTTACACTTACCACATCTGTATTCTCTCTACATGTAGCCTCTCTCTCCACCTCCCCAGTCCTTCACACATTCCTTTTCTCTCTCTCTTTTTCTCCCCGCAAACCCCCCGTCTCTCCCCACGCCTCCCCTGGTGCTTAACTGGAAACAGAAGTGAGTTTGTTGTGTGAAGAAGAGGACCTGTGGAAGTAGCAGCCAGGGAGGCAGCAGCGGAAGCAGGCTGGGGCCAGAGGCAGCATCGACAGCCAGGGACCCCAGCGTTCAGCTGTTCCAGGGAGCAGGTAATGCCCCAGGCAGGACTGGTTTGCATCCTGCTCTCTGCCTGTCTCCTCTCTCCAGGACCCGTCCATTTATTTGCCTTCTTGTCTGGCCTTGAAGGGGAAAGGGGATTCCCGACTTATGGAATGGCAGGCACAGGGGCCCAAGGAGTGGCATGCCCTACTCTTCAGAGAACTGTGTGTGGTCTGCTGTGGCTGGGGTCGGGGCGGCTGGGTGAGGGACATGCTAGAACCTAGAAAGGCAGGTTAGGGCTAACTTACGAGGGATGGTTTGAGCCATGTCACTGACCCCTAGGCTTTAGGCAATAGAGAGACATGGAAAGTTTTTCAACTGGTGAATAACATAATCAAATCTACATTTTATTTTATTTTATTTTATTTTTTATTTTCTTTTTCATGCCATCCTCCAAGGTACATCAAATTTAAAAGAGTAGTTACTGATTTATAATCCCAGGGAGAATTGGTGTGGCCCCTCAGAATCAAGCAGTCACAGTTTTCTCAATTTGAAGAAAAAATAAGGTTATTTTCTCAATTGTTGGTTTTTTGTCTATAAAATTTCTTTAAACATTTGGTGTCTGCTAGCAAGTGTCAGCAATCAATAAGACAGTGGAAAGGATGTAAGTTAAAGGAATAGGCTGGGCCCAGTGGCTCATACTTTTAATCCTGGCACTTTAGGAGGCTGAAGCAGGTGGATTTCTTGAGCTCAGGAGTTCGAGACTAGCCTGGGCAACATGGTGAAACCTTGTCTCTACAGAAAATACAAAAATTAGCCAGGCGTGGTGACATGAGCTAGTACTCCCAGCTACTCTGGGGGCTGAAGTGGGAGGATCACTTGAACCCAGGTGGTGGAGGTTGCAGTGAGCCAAGATCATGCCACTGCACTCCAGCCTAAGCAAAAGAGTGAGACTCTGTCTCAAAAAAAAAAAAAGAAAAAGTAATAGAAAAATTCAAAAATTTAAAATTCTTTTAAATACATGAGTCCGTTGAGCTCTGTACAGATAATAGTGTGTTCTGCTAGTAAAATGATTTCTAACTCATATATATAGTATTTTATGGTGCTATTCAAAGAGAACCATGACTCACAGGAGCCCATTGTGTGAACATGTTTGAAATGGTTTTTTTTTTTTTTTTTTTTTTTTTTTTTTTTGAGACAGAGTCTCGCTCTGTCACCCAGGCTGGAGTGCGGTGGTGCAATCTCGGCTTACTGCAAGCTCCGCCTCCCAGGTTCACGCCATTCTCCTGCTTCAGCCTCCCGAGTAGCTGGGACTACAGGCGCCCACCACCACGCCCAGCTAATTTTTTGTATTTTTAGTAGAGACGGGGTTTCACCGTGTTAGCCAGGATGGTCTCAATCTCCTGACCTTGTGATCTGCCCGTCTCAGCCTCCCAAAGTGCTGGGATTACAGGTGTGAGCCACCGCGCCCAGCCTGAAATGTTTTAAAAGCACACTCTACTGCTACATAGGGAATGGGGTTAAATGGGACAACCAAAGGCAATGGCAGCAGTAAGTGGCTATTGCAGTGATAGGAGCAGATGATGAGAGCCAGAACCAAGATGGTGGCAATGGGTTGGAAAAAAAAGGAGAGAGCCAAATAATGTTTATGAAGCAAATGAAAGACCTTAGTGTCCATTTGGACATGAATGGTAAAAAAAAAAGGAGCTTCAAGAATGAGTCTAGCTTGTCTAGATGGGTAGATGGCTAGAGGTGCTATTAATCAAAACAGAGGAGAGCAGGGCTGGGTTGATGGAATAAGGGAGGCAGAGCTGTTTTGAATATGTTGAGGGTGACCTGAGAAGGCTGCCGAGCTCCCAGAAGGAGCAGTCCAGTTGTTGGCTAGAATGTTCAGTACACATGGGTGTATTGCCTGGACACAAGGGTGACCTCATTTATAAAATGACACCGCAAATAACATGAGCTAGCCCAGAAAGAGTGTGAAGAGAGAAGAGAGAACAAGATGAAGCAGAATCCTGGGGAAGATCAAGATTTAAGTGTTAGCCGGGCAAGAGGAACTAGGGGAAGATATTGAGAGAGAATCTTCAAAGAGAGGGAAAATATCAAGAAACTGGCCTGTTATAAGAGCCATAAGTCACATTTCAGTTCAGAGGGACCAATCATCACCTCTGAAGTTCCAGAGAGATAAGCCAGACCATAGCTTCTCAGTGCTGTTGGTTTGATTGATTTTATTAGCTTATTGGTTTGACAATTAAAATAACAAGAGTGATCTGAGGGCAAGGGTTGTGAATTTGGGTGCATGGCAATAAATGAGATTAATGGGACACTAGTAAGAAGTAGTGGGGACTGTGGCAAACTAAAAAGTATATGCTTACCTAAGAAGGCACCATCAACTCTCATGGATTGTTGCCAAGCAGGAACGTGGGCACAGTGATCAGAACATCTGACTTTTCAAGAAAAGTCAGAGATCTGGATTTCTGTATGAAATCTTACAATTCTTTATTTTAGCAATACTTTCAAAAACTTTCATACTCTGCGAGGCCTGAATTAAACACACCTTTGAACTGTCAGTTTGAAACCTCTGCCTTTGTCAATGTCCTTAGTGCGGTGGGGGCTGCGCCAGTGACAGCAGGCCAAGTAGTGGTTGGGCAAGGAGGAGATGGAGACCATGAGCACAGACCACTACTTTAGGAAGTGTGGGTAAAAGAAAGGAGAAAGCAAGCAGGAGAGCTAAGGAGACAGGCAGGGTCGGGGAGGCTGTCTTGGGTCGGAAGAGCTGTTTCTAGGCTAAGAGAAAGAGGGTGGAGAGAGGGAAGTTGAAGAAAGACTAGATGATGAAATAAGGATCGGAAAGAGTCGAGGGGTTGGAAGAAAGGATGTTGATGGATTTCGTGCCTGGAGGCCTTTATTTTCTTGGTGAAGTGGGGTAGAAGATGAATCAAGAAGCTTGAAGAGAGGAGCAAAGGTTAGGGACAGCCTCAAGGGACACAGGAAGGGTGCTGACAAGGATGCATGGAAGGTTGCTGCACTTGAGACCTGCTGAGGGGAAACCCTTACAGTGGGTCTTATGGGCCTGGGTGTGGGTGTTGGTGGTGAGGGGCTAAGCACCTCTTACCTTCCAAGCCCTGTGTCAGGCATTTCATTCTCTTACCTGATGTATTCCTACCAGCAGTCCTGCTCACTCAACTGAGTTCACTCGTGAATAAGTGGCAGCCCCGAGAATCACACCTTTGTCTGGCTGGATTGGAAGTCCATTTGGTTCCACCACACTACCACTCCGTGCTGCCATCCCCACCCCACCTGCCCCCCCGCCCAAGCCCTCAGACACATCTGCAGAGGAGACTGGGCCAGTGAATTCTTGTCTGGGCATTGCCTGGCTAGTTTTATTGGGAAGTCAAAGGGGGAAGAATGGAGGATGTGATGAAGAAAAGAGTAGAGGTCCATGAAGAAATAAGTGAGAACAGAAGGGAATGATGAACTGAGGAAAGAAGCTGGAGGAAGGCAAGACCTGATGAGGCCTAGGAGACAGTGAATGAGAGATTGCATCGGGACAGGGCAGTGGGGTTGGTGAGGAGGGACTGCGTTCCTAAAAATTTCAATATGAGGGTAAAGATGAGGCGAAAGGAGGTGAGTTAAGGATGACTCCAAGCTGTCTAGCCTGTGCAGTGGGGTGGGCAGGGATGCCTTTAGTCACAGCATTGGTCACCACTTTGACATCATGCCATCTCTCTATCCCTTGCTCACGTGCTAAACCACACTCACCAGCACTTTTCCACCACAGGGTGCCTGGAACATGCAGAGCACTCTTCCTCCAGATCTGCAGAGTGGCTCGTTCTCATTTTTCAAGTCACAGCTTCAGTGTCCCCTCCTCAGAGAGACCTTTTGAGACCATGATATCTACTGTAGGTCCCCTGGTCATTTTGTTTATTTTAGACAACTTATTGAAATGGTCATTTATGGATTTGTTGAATTGTTTATTATCTGTCTCTGTCACTAGAGCACGTGCTTAAGAGAGCAAGGACACATACTCTTCATAGCTTTATTTTCCAATACCTAGAATAATGATTGGCACATAGTAGGCATTCACGAGAGAGAGAGAGAAATGAAGAGAAGGAAGGAAGGAAAAGAAAGAAAAAGAGAGAAAGAACACAGGTGAAATGTGTTTGGGAGAGGGATGTTGAGTTTTGAGGTACCTGGGAGACACCTAGGAAGTGACTTCCAATGGGCAGTTGGAAAGCAGGCTGGAGGCTCAGGAAATGGACTGCCACCTTGCCCAGGAAGAAAGTGGGCCCACATGGTACAAGGGTGTGCAAGCTGTCCTTTTGCATGGCTGACTGCCTTTTCAAGACCAGTGTTGGGAGTTGGCTGGTATGGGGCCCAGCGGGAAGAAGAACCCCTCTGGTGGTAAGCTGAAGTTGGATCAGAGTGCTTCTCACTTCTCTCTTTAGTTCTATTCCTGGTTCTTGCTGCTGCCCTGGCTTCGACCATTTCCCATCATTCTTCACTGCCAGCTACAAGACCCAGGATCTGAATGCAGACTAAATATTTTCATCCTTTTATCTTAAAGAGTATCTCGCCCACCTCTGATTCATGGTGACAGGAGTCCAGCTTCACCCAGGAGCTGGACTTAGTTTTACAGAATTAGAAAATGCTTTTCCCTTGTGCTTGCCTCCTACTCCATTTCTGCTGGCCTTGTGGTCCTCCTTCCTTCCATGGGACACTCAGCAGACCTGCTGCCCCTCTTTTGCAGGGTCCCCAGCTGCTGAGCAGCTCCAGGACATCCTGGGGGAGGAAGATGAGGCTCCCAACCCCACCCTCTTCACAGAGATGGACACTCTGCAGCATGACGGAGACCAGATGGAGTGGAAGGAGTCAGCCAGGTAAGGTGGGGCCCCATGAGGCAGGTGGGCACTTCAGTCTTGCACAGCCTGGGCTTGCCTGACCCTCCTAGAGGGAAGGGGCGCCTTGTACCTTGAGAGCTTCCTGGTCCACAAAGACCTTCCCACCTGCCTTCCTTGGTGTCCAGAAGTAAGGAGCAAACAGAACCTTATGACTTTCTCTTCATCCTCAAAGAAATTAAAGTTCAAGCAGGAAGACAGAACAGTCACCCATGAAACTCTGAGAGTAATACAAAGGCATATACCATTGTCCCTCCGTATCCATAGGGCATTGATTCCAGGACCCCCCGCTGATGCCAAAATCCACATATATTCAAGTCTCCCAGTTGGCCCTGTGGAACTGCCTATATGAAACATTGGCCCATATATGCAGGTTTTGCATCCCATGAATACTGTATTTTTGACCCCATTTGGTTGAAGAAAACCTGTGTGTAAGTGGGCCCATGCAGTTCAAAACCCATGTTGTTCAGGGGTCAACTGCATTCTTGTCATCGTCATTGTCGTTTTTCCAGAGATGGGGTCTCATTCTGTCACCCAGGCTTCAGTGCAGTAGGGTAATCATAGCTTACTGCACACAGGCTCAAACTCCTGGGCTCAAGCGATCCTCCTGCTTCAACCTCCCAAGTAGCTGGTACTTTGAGCACATGCCACTGCATCCAGCTAATTATTTTTATTTTTTGTAGCAATGAGGTCTCACTTTTTTTACCCAGGACGTTCTTTAATATAAAATGGTTCAAGCTAAATGCTATAAAAGGAAAAGTACCAAGCAGGCTGGGGTAGACAGTGAGGGCTTCCTGGAGGAAGGAGAAGGTGTGCCAGGCACATCGAGTCTGAATGGTGGGAAAAAATCCAAATGGAGAGGGCTAGTGGGGCACCGAAGAAGAGGGAACTGGCGGAGTTTGGGGCTGCAGAGTTGGAGCCATGGAGCAAAGCATGGGAAACAGAGAGCTCTCCATATATAAGGAGAGCAGAAGCTGGAGGGGAGCCACACGGAGAAGCCACAGGAGGCAAGGGAAGGGCAGGGTAAGAGTGGTTGGCACTGCTCATATCCCCAGTGCGTGGGACAAAGGGGCCTTGGGACTTAACTGGACTGTTCAGCAATGCCCAATGCTCCCAAGAGCCCAAGGGGAAGGAAAGCTATGGGAAGAGGCAGCAGGAAGGACCTTCGGACAGGAAGACAGACTGTGCCGATGTTTCTCCACCTTCTTTACGTGATGCCACTCTGTCCCCAGGAGAAGAATTTAATTTGATTTAAATCAACTTTATTAAATTAAAATTTAATTTCTTTCATTAGAAATAAAGAATAAGAGCTAGGCACGGTGGCTCATGCCTATAATCCCAACAACACTTTGAGAGGCCAAGACAGGGAGATTGCTTGAGCCCACGAGTTCAAGATCAGCCTGGGCAACATAGGAAGACCTTATCTCTACAAAAAAAAAAAATCAAAATAGAAAATTAGGTAGGCATGGTGGCACACACCTGTAGTCTCAGCTACTCGAAAAGATGAGGTGGGAGATCACTTGAGCCAGGGGAAGTTGAGGCTGCAGTGAGCCATGATTGTGCCATTGCACTCCAACTTGGGCAACAGAGTGAGACTCTATCTCAAAAAAAAAAAAAAAAAGGAATAAGATTTGTCAGGCTGAGTGTAGCTGTAGAGTACCACAAGCCATTGTAATATCTAAAATATTTTCACTCCTCCAAGAACCAGTTTTTGCCTCCTTGGGGGCAATTATGCCCAAGTTGAGAGTGCATGGACTCAACTATGCCCAGGTCTATCTCTGCATGGGGCCCACCGTAACAGCCAGAGCCTGAGCTGTCCACAACCACAGCCTGGGCTCTTCCCTCGCTCATCTCCATCACTAGCCTGGGTAGTTGCTGTGTAGAGCCAGAAGGCACAGGTTTGGACACCCCAGGTTTTCCCCACTCCAGGTACCCTGCAGGGGTATCTGGAAGAAAGGCCACTAGGTGGACTAGCAAATAAATCCCTGTGGGCCTCAGAGAGGAACAAATCCCCAGCCCCACAGCTGGGCCTGGTCCCTGTGTGGAAGCCATTGAATTTCTTCCTATGATCCAATTCTTTGAACACTTACTGTGTTGATCGATTCACAGGCTTGTCTCTTGCAAGTTGCACAGTGACCCTGAGTGGGCGAAACTTTCATTATCCCTGTTTTATAGATAGGAAACTGAGGTGAAGGGGAACAAGTAGCTCACCAGGGTTCAGAGCATGTAGGTAGCTGAATATGGATTCCAGTCCAGGTCTCTCTGACTCCCCACTTGAGGGATAATGGACTTTGTCTTCCCTTCATCATTTTCTCAGCCCTTTCTCTTTCTGTCTCTAACTTCCAGTGACTGTTTTGACTTCCAGGGGAGGACATAGGTCTGGAAGCAATTCTGTTGGGGTCAGAGATACATGGGGAGAGCTGCAGAGCCCAGGATGCCTATCCAAGATTGACAGGGAAGGGGGACGTTTCAAATGACCAAGACCCACCCTGGTCTATTATATCTTAACACCTCTGAGGGGCCAGGACCTGAAGCCACTGCCTGCCCTGAACGAGGGCCTCTCCTGCCCAGGGTGGGCAAATAGAGAGGAGGAAAGCTGGGCAGGGTCTTCTCAGAGGCCCAGGAAGGAGAGGTTGCCTTCTCCACACCCTGGACAGAGTCTGCATCCAGAACTCCTAGCCATGGTTGCCAGGACAAGACCCTCCACGAGGGCCTATCACACACACCCATGGAGCCCTTGCCAAGAGGGCCTTATGGCCCCCAGAGACCTGACTATTGCCAAAGGCAAAACACATTGTCTCTATTCTCTCAGAGTATGGATTCACAAAGCCCTCTGCACTCCAGACCCAGTGATGGAACCGAGAAACTGTACATGAGGCTGTTTCTAGAAGGGGTCTTCTCTTAAAACGTTAAGGGGTCTGGCAGTTGCCATCTGCAAAGTGGTGGGTTTCCCTGCAAAGCAGGCTTTCTGAAGATGGCACCTGAGGAGGTCCTGGAAGAAGGGCCATCTGGACCTCAGGATAGCCTGGCTCCAACCAGCAGTGAAAAGAAAGTAATGACTAGAAGTTAAAGTGGCTGAACCCAATTCTAGGCAGATCCTAAAGAGGAGTAGCTTGAAGGCCAGCTTGGGGACAGGAAAATGTGAGAGAAGAGTAGCTGCTTTCTCAACTTCTGCTCCACCCTCTTCTACTCTCTACAGCTAACCCCATCTGGTTTCCAGATAACTGTCCAAGGTATGACCAGCAAGCCCCTAGTGAAGTCCGAAGAAGGGTTTGACCGTTGGCCAAGAAGCCCACCATGGCCTGATCAGTTTTTCTGGGTCCTCCTCCAGGCAAACTACAAGGTTACAGGTGCCTGGGTCAGAGCTATTTGAGGCCTGTCACCCCCACAAAAAAAGAGAAAGCAGTTTCCTCAGTTGACAGGCCAGTGGAGCTACTCAGGGAAGCTAGAGATGTCAGATGTTTCGAGAATCTAAGAATCAGCAAATCATAATGGATTCTGGCCTTCTTAGAGTAACAAGAGAAAATGATGGGGAGTAGGGGATAGCCTCTCACACAGACACTCAGGCTCCAAGAGGGTTATGGATCCACAATACCCATGTCAAAGAGAATCGGGGAGAGGACCCTTTAATAAAAGTATTTAATTTGCTGCAGGGAGTGTTTGCTTTATTGAGTTAGGAGATTAACAGAGTGAAAATCTCAAATCCGCAAGGAATTTTCCCTGGCGGTGCTTTGTCAGGAGTTATTAGTTTGGGGGATGTTTCAGGCCCTTGGAGGAGTCACTCCTGGAGGGATTTAAATGGCTTTTTGAGCTCTGCTGAGCCTTGTGCCATGCACATAATGGGGACTGTGTGTGCAGCGTCATTTCTAATGTGATCAATGCTGGTAGGTCAGGCTGTTAATAAGATAGATTTTTATTAACTCTGTCTCTAGCATTCACATGAGGGAAATGCAGCTGGCTGTTTGCTGATAATGACCTTGCCTGCAGGAAGGGCTGGATCAGATTGGGTGGGGGTGACCATCTGACTGTGAGCAAACTATTTACCCAGAATTCCATCCTCTCTCATGCCCACCCCTGCCGGACTGCAAGTGGAGGGCTGGGAAGGAGAATGACCTGAATTGGAGCCCACCCAAGTGTGGAGGGCCCTTTGGGGTTACTCAGAAATAACCAGAGCTTAGCACCTCCCAAGAGCCATGAAAGCAAATTCCAAATCCAAGCTGCCTCTGGTCTCAACTCAGAGCAGACCACAAACACGAACTTGCCAGAAGATTCTTATGAGACACATGCTCTGAGAACATTACTGCAATGACCGGGAAGAGGCAGGAGAAGTGGGTCAGTTGTTGGGTCAGACCAGATCAGTACATTTTCAAAAGCCCTGAATGGTTCTATGCACATAGGCAGGGATGCTTTCTCACTCCGTGCAGGATGGAGAAAGCCGAGCTTTCTGTGTCAACCCTGAAATCACCCTCATTAAGATCCTCTGTAGTCCAGGCATGGTGGCTCATGCCTGTAATCCCAGCACTTTGGGAGACTGAAGCGGGTGGATCACCTGAGGTCAGGAGTTCAAGACCAGCCTGGCCAATATGATGAAACTCCATCTTTACTAAAATTACAAAAAAATTAGCCAGGCATGCTGGTGGGCGCTGAGTAATCCCAGCTACTCAGGAGGCTGAGTCAGGAGAATTGCTTGAACCTGGGAGGCAGAGGTTACAGGGAGCCAAGATCGTGCCATTGCACTCCAGCCTGGGCAACAAGAGTGAAACTCTGTCTCAAAAAAAAAAAAAAAAAAATCCTGTATAATGCCCTCTTAACATCATTTCCCATCTTAGTGTGGGGCAGTAGGCATCCCCAGACTTCTGGTTTCATCACCCATCTGGAATCAACCTTCCAGTGGAGCCAGAGCTGCCCACCCAATTTAAAGGAGAGTAGGAAGCTGAGAGCTCCAAATGCAGAAATCAACAAACTTGGTTCATTCATTCAAT